GTGTGTGTGTGTGTGTGTGTGTGTGTGTGTGTGTGTGTGTGTGTGTGCATAGAGGCCAGACTGTGTGGGGGAGATGTGGGTGTGTGGGCATAGAAGCCAGAGTCAACCTCCGGTGTGGTAGTTCAAGGGCTACCTACCTTATTTTGAGACAGTGCCTCTCACTGAGACCTGATCTTATCCATTAGAATGGGTTGGCAAAAGTCCCCTAGTCTCCACCTCCCCAGCACAGAGACTATGAGAACAAGCCCCACACTGGCTTGTTCCATGGGTGATGGTAAAGAACATGGGTCCTCATGCTAGGAGAGCAAGCATGCTACTCATTTAATTATATCCCCCCCCACTGCCCATCATCTCTGAGATGCCAGTCCTTCTGCTGCTTTCTTTACGTTTTGACTGGAGAGGACCTCAGTGTTCTCTGTAAAATGGGAGTAGCAAATTAGATGACAGCAAAGATCTCTCTTTAATTTCTATTGCTCCAGGAATCTATAGTAGAGACAGAAAGTGCCTATTGTTTAGGGTAAAAAGTTAGAGAACGAATTAACTGAATTTAAAAATCTTCCCATCTTCTTCGTGGAGACATGAATTCAGTATTAATGATACTGGTATTAATGATACTTGGCCCTGATAATAAGCTTGGGAAAGGAGTTCCTATTTCTTTATCTGGGGAAAAATACAACAGAAATCAGCCTGAGCAGTTTGCCCTCATCTGAAAAGAGATGAAGCGATCACCAAACTCCATGGAAACTTCCTCCCTAATCAAAAGTTCTGCCCAGGTAAGCTGGGCAGTGGTGCACATGTTTAACCCAGCACTCAGGAGGCAGAGGCAGGCAGATCTCTGAGTTCAAGGTCAGTCTGGTCTACAGAGTGAGTTTTAGGACATCCAAGGATATGCAGAGAAAGACTTTCTCAAAAACAAAACAAAGTCAAGCAAACAAAAAGTTCTCTAGTTTTTAAAACGTGTGGAAATTTGCACATAAGCTTTGTGCTTTTTTAAAAAAAATCCACTCATTACTGAATCTCTTCATTTTTAAGACAATGCCATATAGGGTTGATGCTGTGTATTTGGTACCACTGAATAAACAATAAGTGAATTCATGAAAGTTGATAACTAATAGCTAGCCTAACTAAAAAAGTACAGACATGTTGAGATTTCTCATCCCATCCCTTCTTGCAAGGGGATAGACTCAGTAAGATACAAACCGATGGTTGAACATGGCTATAATCCCAGCGCTTGGAGACTGAAGCAGGAGGATCATGAGCTCAAGGCCAGCCTCTGCTATATTCTGAAAGACTGTCTTGAAAAAGCAAACAAAGTGACATAAATAAAGCAATACCTGTGAGACCCCATGAAACTAAAATATGAAAAACTGAAGAGACAGTATCTGAGAATTAGGCATGTTTATTTTATTAATTCTGACACAACACTAGATAGAGTATATTTAATATGCTACTTCATTACAGAAATTAGTTAGCACCAGTTGATGGTTTAAATTACATAGAACCAGTGTTCACTGAAATACATGCATATTGGGTTGTATTAAAAATAAACTAAACTTGAAATACAAATAAATGTTACTCAGTTTGTTTTTACCTCTCTAGAGAAGGAGAGGAAATGATTAACACCAGCTTTTAAGATTTAGTAAACATATCTTTAGTAAACATATCCTATGTATTCTTTAAAGATCAAATTTCAGAAATCTTTAAAAAGTTCTATACCATTGAGCTACATGTATATCCTTGCATGTACAAAGTTCCTGAGTGGGCATTTAAGATAGAGGAAAAGGACTGGGGACAGCTCTCTCTCCTGTTACGCCCTCCTGGCTACTCTCATCTCCAGCCAATCCTGGTCAACCATGATTCATGTCATGCCCAGAATCCAAGCTTGTCTGAATGTTCTTATATGTTCTTTCAATCACTTAGACCCCATTTCTCAATTTGATAAAGCTTTCATGTCAGGAAATCTTCACGATGGTCTATTCCTAGTTGATATAAAATCTAAACCATTCCCTATGCTAAACATTTGCAATTACAGCCATACCATCCTCACTGAAGAAAAGTAAAATAAACTGATCGCACCAACCAGGTTGAGCGTGGTTGGCACGGTTCTATATTTCTAGCTTTAAATAGTGTGTACAGCTTTAAAATGAATTCCTCCCGCTTTGAACTGTAGGGCCCCATTTTTTTTCCTCCACCGTGAATCCCGTCTTTGCATAGTGCAAAAACCAGTGGATCACAAGGAACTCAGCTGGAGCCGGAGTGGAGGAAGGGTTTGGCCTGCTTTGGTTAAACACTAAAGGATCCTTATGTTCCATGGGCCTTTGCATTTTATTGTCTACAGACTACTCCAAACCTCTGAGGTAAGAGCACCCGATTCTCCAATTACATCTGGATTTCAATAAGAGACAGAATGTCTGAGTCTTATCCTAACCTCCTTAAGTAAAAATTTCTACGAACTGAAACTTTGATAAATGAGCAGAAATGAAGCAAGCCTGTCATGTTTTATATTCAGAAACTGGAACAACTTTCTTAAGCCATTTTTAGTGTCTATAACACTTGAGATATTATTATTCTATTTAAAAAGCTCGCCCTAAAGCTCTAGTCTTCTTGAACACCTCATTTAATTCTAAAGTTACACTGGTACTCATATGACAAGCTATATTTGGCACAGCTGTATTTTTTAGCGATTATGAAAAAAAATTAGTAAACATTTCAAAAGGACGTTCTAACTTCCCATAATTAACCGTGGGTTCCAGAAGGGATTGTTGAGAGAGGCACAGCATGCTTCATTGCTACAAAAACATTTCACTCAATTGGGTTTATAAATTAATAAGGTACCTTTGATTACAGAATCTATTTAGTAGAGTATTTCTGCAAATATTACAGATTTAAAGGCACAAAGTCACATCAAAATCCCTTCCAAGACAATGGGCTTTCAAAGGTTCTATTTCCAGTATTAGTTCTCTTTGTTCGCCAGCATAATTCATGAGGATGCTTCTGAGGGGCTGACATTTTCTTTTGTATGTCAACCAATACTCATATATACTCTTTATTTCGACTGTCCTTTAAAAATACTTGCCAGTATAGTCAATGGAGATATGCTATTCAAAGTTCACATGCTCTTGAAAGGCAGGGAAAAAACCAATAGTTAGCCAAGAAGAGCAGCATACCATCATTGTATTGGGACATAGCATGTTCCATGAGTTGACGGGTTTGATTTCCCCAGTAGAGGCAGACCCCTGCCTCCGTCCAGTATCTCTGTTAGAGGTAGCCCCTGCCTCTACCTCACTAGAACTGTACAATTGTGCACCCTCCTGAAAGACCTCGCCATTCAAAATAGAGCCCCCTTGCCTACCATAAACTCTAATTTTAAGTTTCACATTTAAAGGACTTAAGATACAAACCAACTCTTGGAACTCCATCTTGGCTTAATGGATCTGCAGGGCTAGCTTCATTCAGACTCTGGTAGGAGCACCTGAATTTCTGATCTTCCTGGATAGACTCATCTGAGGTCTATGGACAAAAACATCTGAGGTCCATGAAAATTTGTACTGCCTGAGAGCTGGCACAGGAAAAAGTATGAATCTTCTAGAAGAAGCAAATATTCCAGACTATAATACCACAGGTGTTTGTTTGGAAAAATACTGAGATGCAGAAGTTGTATCTCATCTTGAAAGGCATATTTAAACAATCGTCTTTCTGGGGTCCACTGATCTCATTTTCCTGTGCACGTGATAGACTCACAAAGACGTGCCCAGCCAGCCACAACACAACACACTTCTAGGGAGGGCACAATCCGCATGGACCTTGTAAAAGGATTGATGAGAAATGTCCGCTTACATTCAGAGTTTCCTTGAGCACACAAAATTGTGAGCCTTGCCTTTACTACAGTCCTGGGATTGCCACTGCCCTCTTTTGTGAACCAAAGCACAGTCCTTTCCAGGCTTCCGGTGCTGAGGGGGCGCTCTCTTCCAGTTAGTAAAAGCAACAGGTTCACCTCCGATCCACTCCCAGCGGCCAGTTCGCACTTGGTTCTTCAAGCCTATCGTGAGCCAAGAGAACATGCCAAATATTTTTATTACACTTAAACCTAGGTACCCTGGCTAGCTTTTTTTTTTTTTTTTTTTTTTTTTTTTTTTTTTTTTTTTTTTTTT